ATGGGAGAAGAGAATCCATGGTTGATTCCTTCAGAGGAGCAAAACTCAGCAAATTTGTTGTTCTCAAATTCCTTTCCATGATCACTTCTTATTCTTATGACATGGCTTTCCTTTTCCTTTTGAAGTTTTTGACAAAGATCTTTGAACACTTCAAAAGTTTCTGATTTTTCTCTAATAAAGCTTATCCATGTGTATCTAGAAAAGTCATTTACAACAACATACATATACTTATTACCACCAAGACTTTCAACCTGCATATGTTCCATCAAGTCCATGTGAAGAAGTTCCAAAACTTTTGATGTAATAAGATGTTGAATCTTCTGATGTGACATCTTAGTCTGCTTTCCAATTTGACAGTCACCACATACCCTTCCTTCTTCTATCTTGAGCTTAGGAATCCCTCTTACTGCTTCTTCAGATATAATTCTCTTCATACCTTTCAGATACAAGTGCCCCAATTTTTGATGCCATAGTTTAACTTCATTCTCTTTGGCTAAAACACATGTTAAAGAGAGGTTTAACTCTTGAGGAACCCATAGATAACAATTGTCTTTAGATCTGATTCCTTTCATGATAACTTCATTCTTTTCATTGCACATAAGACATTCTTCCTTGGAGAAGTTAACTTTGAATCCTTGATCACATAGTTGGCTTATACTTATCAGGTTATCTGTTAACCCTTTTACAAGTAACACATTATCAAGTTTAGGAACTCCTGAGCAGTCAAGCTTGCCAACACCTTTGATTTCTCCTTTTGCTCCATCACCAAAAGTCACATAACTGGTGGAATGAGATTTGACATCCACCAACAGATTCTTGACACTTGTCATGTGTCTAGAACAGCCACTGTCAAAGTACTAGTCATCTTTGGACTTGGGAACCCGCTGTTTCTCCTTTTTGCTATTTTGGGGAATCTTATCAGTTTTGGGAAGAGGAGTATTTTTAGGATATCCATACAACTTGAAAGAGAAGGGCCTTATATGTCCAAGCCTTCCACAGTGATGACATCTCCAGGGTTGGGTATTCTCTCTGGTGTGATTAAGCTTTTTCTTCCCATGAGGTTTGCCATGATGTCCTTTCTTCACATGAGGTTTCCCAAGATGTCCTTTCTTATCATGATGTTTGCCCACATGTTGAGACATCTGATTCGATATCTTTGGTTTAGGCTTGGCATGAGTGGAAACAGATGAAGGATCTTCTGATTTAGGTTCCTTTTTATCATTGAAACCTAAACCACTCTTATCTCCTGTCACTCTTCCTGCTTGGAGAATTTCATCTAATGTGTCAGACCCATTATTCAGCATCTTGAGAGATTTGACCATTCTATCAAGATTTGAATTTAGAGAGTACACTTCACTTTCCAGATCAGAAATAGTTTTAAGATGCTCTTCCTTTTCCTCCTTCAGCAGAGTTATAAGGGCTTTCTGTTTCTCCCCTTCAAGACATACTTCTGCACTTTTGAGACATAATTCTTTGTATGAAGCAAATAACTCATCAAAGGTTAGTTCCCCATCACTAGACTCTTCATCAGATACATATTTTCCTGTCAATGCTTTAACATATTTGGCAGATTATTCAAGATCACTCTCTGAGTCCTCTTCAGACCAAGTAACAGATAGATTCTTCTTCTGTTTCATTAGATATGTAGGACATTCAGCTCTAATGTGACCAAAGCCTTCACATTCATGATATTGCATTCCCTTCCCTTAAGAAGATTTTTCTTCAGCCCTTTCTCTTCCCACCTCATTTAACTTATAGATGTCAGATGGGGTGTTCTTGACATTTGATCTTTGGTTCCTGTCCATTCTTTTTATCACTTTATTAAATTGTCTTCCAAGCATAGCTAAGGCATTTGATATTCCTCCATCTGTATCTAGATCACAGTCCTCTTCTTCATCCTCAGTATTAGATACAAAGGTTATGCTTTTGTTTTTCTTCTTAAATATTTCATTTATGCTTAATTCAAATGTTAGAAGGGATCCAACAAGTTCATCCACTTTCATTTTGTCAATGTCTTGGGCTTCTTCTATAGAAGTTACTTTCATATCAAATCTCTCGGGAAGAGACCTGAGCATCTTTCTCACCAATTTGTCTTCAGGTATTTTATCTCCTAAAGCACTGAAGGCATTAGCAATTTCAAGGATGTTCATATGGAAGTCATTTATACTTTCATCATCTTTCATCCTCAAATTCTCAAATTTTATGGTGAGTAACTGAAGTCTTGACATCTTAACTTTGGATGTGCCTTCATGAGTAGATTGAAGAATCCCCCACGCATCCTTATCAACTTCACATGTATTGACTAACCTGAAAACGTTCTTGTCAATTCCATTGAATATAGAATTCAAGGCTTTAGAATTTCCAAGAGCAATTTCATCTTCTTCCTTAAACCAATCTTCTTCAGGTTTTAATTCAGAAGTAGGTTCTCCATTTTCTCCCAATTTTACAGTGTGTTTCTATCCTCTTAAAACAGCTTTCCAAGCCCTGTTGTCTAAGGACTTTAAAAAGGCAACCACACGTGGTTTCCAGTAGTCATACTTGATTCCATCTAGAATGGATGCTCTGTTCACAGATCCTCCTTCCTTGTCCATAATACTAGAAAGTATCTTCCCTGGATCTCACCCAGATAAAGAGCAGAATACCTGCTCTGATACCAATTGAAACTCTGGTATCAGATATGTGATGTCGAATGAGATGTCCCGACATAAATATTTGTTTGCAACTAAGGTGCAGTAAAATCAAAAGCAGTAAAAACACAAGAGATTGTTCACCCAGTTCAATGTACAAAAACACCTACTCTGGGGGCTACCAAGCCAGAGACAATTTCACTAAATAGTATCAATTCATAGACCCTTAGTAAACAACCAGTTTACAATCTAATCACTTAATCATTACCCAAGCTAAACTTCTACCTAAGACTCACCTAGGTATGAGGCTATCCTCAAATCCCTTCAATCACTTACAACGAAGAACTTAACAGAATTAATAAGTTTTAAACACTTCAATCATTCAATGCTTAAAAGCTTATGAATGATACATAATTAACAACCCAAATAACAACTCAAGTATTTAAACTAATACTTAGAGTGTATTACAAATAAAAGGCCTAGACTTCTAATCAGAAAGAAAGTATTCTTCTTCAAAAGTTGCTTGTCTTTGAATAAGGAAGCAAGTCCTTATATATGCGCAACTGTGGGCTTGGGCTTAAAATCAAATATTCAAATCTTTTGAATATTTCCATAAAAACAGGCTAAGATAAAATTCATGCAATTTGAAAAATATTCCTCCATATTTTTCGCAGCCTGTGAGGCACAAATCCTGAATTATGCCACGCATGAAAATAGGAAACATATAACTTAAACTGATGTTGGGGTGAGATCAGTTTAGGAAGCAGATGTCAAGACATCTGCTTTGACATCATTCAAAACAGTTTTTCTCCAGATGTTAAGACATTTAGCAAAACATTAATAAGTCATTGTTTCACCAAAATTATTTCCAACAAAAACTTACAGTCCATTACAAGAAGAGGTATATGTGTCACAACCTCCTGGATTTAAAAAAAAGAATCGGGAAGGGATGGTGTTCAGATTACACAAATCCTTGTATGGATTGAAGCAAGCGACCATGGCCTGGAATCTGAAGATTGATTCATTTTTCAAGGAACAAGGGTTTCAGAAGTGTGAGATGGAGTATGGTGGTTATGTTCAACACACTTCAAAAGATAATATGATTCTGGTATGTTTGTATGTTGATGACATATTGCTAACAAGAAGTTTTGAACAAGAGATAGCTAAGTTCAAGAAGGTTCTAATGAATGAGTTTGAGATGATAGATCTTGGGAAAATGAGTTACTTTATAGGGATGAAGTTTATGTACTCTAAGAAAGGAATCATTTTGCATCAGATGAAGTATGAACTCGAGCTTCCGGAGAAGTTTAATCTAGAGAATTGCAAAACTGCTATCACACATGTTGATATAAACCAGAAGTTGGACTCTGATTCTGATGGAGGGGATGTGGATGCTACAACCTTCAAAAAATTGGTTAGTTCTCCAAGGTATTTGTGTAATATCAAACCTGATATTTGCTATGCAGTTGGAATGGTTAGCATATTTATAAGTAAACCAAAATGATCTCATTACCAAGCTGCTGTCAGGATTATGAGGTATGTGAAGGGAACTCTGAAGTATAGAGTGTTATTTCCTTCTGGAAGAAAGACAGAATCATAACTTTTGAGTTATTCAGACTTTGACTGATGTGGAGACGGAATTGAGAGAAGAAGTACTTCTGGATATTTATTCAAATTTCTGGGAAGTCATATTTCTCGGTGTTCCAAGAAGAAGCATGTTGTTGCGCTGTTAACCTATAAAGCTGAATATATTGCAGGCGCTCTGACTGCATGCCAGGCTGTGTGGATTCAAAACTTGTTGCAGGATCTGAAGATCAAGGTAAACAAGCCTCTGAAGTTGATGGTTGATAACAAGTCTGCAATCAATCTTGCCAAGAACCCAGTGCTGCATGGGAGAAGCAAGCATATTGAGACCAAGTATCACTTTCTGAGGAATTGGGTTCAAAGTGGAATATTATAAGTTGTACACTGTAGCACCCAGAAGCAGCTGGAGGATGTTCTAACAAAGGCTATCAAGACTGATCAATTTCTTCGTTTGAGGGATGAAATTGATGTTGTCAATTTTGTGCAAATATAAATTAAGGGATGATGTTGGAAATAATTTATATTTTAAGAATCTCTTGTTAACTAAGTTTGTTAGAGAGTATTTTAGTATTTTATTATATCCTAACATTTGTGTATAAACAGCCTAGTAGTAGATAAGTCAATATAATTCATTACTCCTTATTTTGTAGTCGTCATTCAATATATTTCTTTTGTCTTTCGTCCCTCCTTTGTGCATCAACAACATGAACAGTTTAGTATCTCTCTCGAGCATTAAAGGATTTACCAAGAGGTCAAATTCTTATTTCTATGAAATTTTGGATTGTTAAAATGGAATCTGGTAAAGTTGTTGTAAACGGAAGTCCTAAATATGTTCGATCATGTTGTGAGGGTAGTCTTCAATGTCTTGGAGTTGATTACATATATTTGTATTATCAACATCATGTTGATACTAGTCTTCCCATTGAGGATACTGCGAGTAACTAATGCAATGTTTTTCTCTTCTCTTTAAATTTCTTAGGTAGTGGTGTTCTTGGTTTGGTGTTTTGATTTTGAATCAATCACAGATGGGAGAGTTGAAAAAGCTGGTTGAAGAGGGAAAGATTAAGTATATAGGATTATCTGAGGCTAGTACTAATACAATCAGAAGGGCACATGTTGTTCATCCTATTACTGATGTTCAAATGGAATGGTCCTTTTGGACTCGTGAGATTGAACCTGATATTGTTCCCCTTTGCAGGTATATTCGATCGATAGACTCTGGTACCATATTACTTCATGACTTAATGCTTTTTGATATCTTGCATGATTCTTCTTTACAAGATTTTGATTGTTTGGTGCCAACTCTTTTAGGGAGCTTGGAATTGGATTAGTACCATATAGTCCCCTTGGTCGTGGATTTTTTTGGAGGCAAAGCTATCTTGGAAAGTATACCGGCAAACAATTTTATGGTATGGACTCTTAATTGTTTCTGATGATAGTCAATGTTAACCTTGAGCCTTGTTTTTAGAGAAGATATAACTTGTTTTCATAAACTTAGCTAGATTTGATCCATGGGGTCACCAACTTTACCGGGATCATCGTCTTCCGCTAATGTCACGGTGAAAAACTCTCCGTTCATGGTGGCGACTGATGAAACTCGTCGTCTCCAGTTCTCGCATAAACTCGATGAGACAAACTTCCACATCTGGCGTCAACAGGTGGAGCCCTACATCAACACGCATAATCTCACGGATCTCATCGTGTGCACTCGAATTCCTCCCAAATTCGTGGACGATGATGCTCGTCGTCAAGGTACGGTTAATGCTACATGCTCAATTTGGCTTCAGAAAGATCAATTGCTTCTATCATGGCTTAAATCGACTCTTTCGAGCGAAATTTTGTCACGTGTTCTTGGATGCTCTCATTTGCATCAACTCTAGGATCGCTTATTCAGTTATTTCCAGAAGCAAACTCGTGCACATGCACGCCAATTACGTGTAGAATTGTGTGCCCTAACTCAGGAGTCTCAATCTGTCTCTGATTATCTATTTAAAATCCGTCGCGACTGTGGATGCTCTGGCTTCAATTGGAGATCCTATTCCCAACTCTCATCACATTGATGTGATTCTTGAGGGGCTTCCTAGTGAATATGACCATGTTGTTTCTGTTGTAGAGAGTAAGTTTGGTGATATGGATTTGGATGAGGTTGAAATTATCCTAATTGCACATGAACTGAGGCTGGACAAATTCAAGAAGTCTACTGTGCCAGATCTTGGATATCTCAACCTCACACATGTTTCACCTCAGGCTGCTTCCCCTGAAACTCCTTAGTCTGGCAGTACTGATTCTACTCACTCACAGGTAACTCCCTCCCGTGCAGAGCCTGAATATTCCAGTTTCAAAGGTGGGAGATCAAACAGGGGTGGTCGTGGAAAAGGTTTAGGTGACAGGAACTCTACAGTTCAATGTTAAGTTTTCTCTAAGGTTGGACACTCAACTTTAAATTGCTGGCATAGGTTCAATCAACACTTTCAACCTCCCTATTATAGTGGAAATCCCTATAATGCAACTCCTTGGCAATTTCCTAAGGTGTCTTATGGCCAATTTCCTACTAAAGTGTGGACAAGACCTCCAACTGTTCAAGCAAGGACAACTCTTGCTTATTCTTCTCCCAGCACATTCATTACAAATGTAAATCCCTCTACATCAGTGATGTCCTGGTACCCTGATTCAGGGGCCTCATATCATGTCACCAATGATGCAAATAATCTGCAGTAAGCCACACCTCTTGAGGGTCATGAACATATTTACATAGGAAATGGCCAAGGTCTTCTTATTAACTCTGCTAGTTCTAGTCAATTTTTGTCTCAAAATCACCCTCACACACCTCTCACACTAAATAATCTATTACACGTGCCTTCCATTACCAAGAATCTCAAAAGTGTGAGTCAGTTTTGTCGTGACAATCATGTATATTTCCTTTTCACAGCTGATTCGTGCTTTGTCAAATGTCAGGTGTCTAATGTTATTTTACTGACTGGTCACATGGGTTCAGATGGGTTGTATGAGTTTCCCTTGCTAAATGTTTCTAAATCTACTAAGTCTACTAAGTCTTTAGATTCTTCCAATAAACTGGTACCTTCTGTTAATTCTGTTGCTATTTCTTCTGCTTTATCCAATGTGTGGCATTTAAGACTGGGCCATCCTAATATCAACAACTTGAGATTGGTGCTACAAAGTTGTAATCTCAAATTCAGCAATAAAAATCATGAATATTTCTGTTCTGCTTGTTGTATGGGTAAAGCACATAGACTGCATTCACCTGTCTCACACGCCACTTATTTTCATCCTTTAGAACTTGTGTAGTGTGATATATGGGGGCCTTCTTCCAAACCATCAGCACAAGGTTTTACTTATTACATCTCCTTTGTTGATGCCTTTTCCAGGTTCACATGGTTGTACTTACTTAAATCTAAAGCTGAAGCACTTAATGTCTTCAAGCAGTTTAAGTCTCTTGTAGAACTGCAACTTGGATTCCCCATCAAAGTTGTTCAGTCAGATTGGGGTGGGGAATTTCGTCCCTTCAGTAAATTTCTGTCTGACTTTGGCATCGTGCACATGATTATATATCCTCATACTAACCACCAAAATGGGGTGGTAGAAAGGAAGCATATGTACGTTGTGGATCTAGGCTTGACTCTTTTAAGTCAAGCTTTCTTGCCATTAACATACTGGGATTATGCCTTCACCACAACTATTTTTCTCATAAACAGACTTCCCTCATCAGCTATTCGATTTCAAGTTCCTTATACTCCTCTATTTCACATTGTACCTGACTACAAATTCTTAAAGGTGTTTGGTTGTGCTTGTTTTCCACTTCTGAGACCTTATAATGCACACAAGCTGGAATTCAGGTCTCAAGAATGTCTGTTTATAGGTTATTACAATTCTCACAAGGGTCATACATGTCTTTCACCTAGTGGAAAACTTTATGTATCCAAGGATGTTCTATTTCATGAGTCAAGGTTTTCCTACCTTGAGCTATTTTCTCCACCTACTTCTCATACCCCTAATGTCAATAACCCTGCCAAACAAACTTCCTCGCCATCCTTATCCTCTCTTTTTTCCAATATTTCTCTTTCTAAGCCTATGCCTCTAACAATTGTTCCCTTTTCTTCTGCTAACTCACCTATCTCTGCGACCTACTCAAATTCCTCTGCATCTACAAGTCATTCAGGAGATGCCTCCCCTTTGAAGCTACCGGCAGAAAACACAGAGCCGCCACCGAACTTTATTTATCCTGAAGGAAGGGGAAATATCGATAAAACCACAAGGGAATGGATAAGATGGTCTTGCGACCAAGAGAAAGGGTAAGGGAGTCTGTTATACGAGGGGAAGGTATTAGCACCCCTCACATCCATTGTACTCAACGGGATCCGTTTTATTTGTCTGTCTTAAAAGGGTGTGTTTATCTACAACTATACTTGCTTAAGGGGAAAATATGGTTTTTTATTATTGCGTTCGTGAGGGTTTTGTGACCCTTTGCCTACGTATCCAATGAAGGAATCAGAACACTGTAGTTCCTCTAGAAAATGTTGGTTTGTTGGTGTTTTTTAATGGGCGATGTTAACGCACACATTCTAGCAATAGGCACGGCCTATATCGCGGTAGAACAAAGATAACATGCCCCTTTGGGGAGTTTTTATTGGTTGAGTGTTTTGTGAGTTTTAAATGAATTCGAATAATGATTAAATGTTTTTGGATTTTTGATTTGTGAATGAGAATTTTTAATTCAATTACAAAATAAAAATCTAAAGGGGAAAGTTTACCGTAATGTTGCTATGTACAAAGGGACCTAAAGTAGAGATTGAAGGGAAACTATCCAAAAATGTTATCATGCTTGGATTTAAAGCCTAGGGTCTAATTCAATATCAAAACGATCAAAATAAAGTTTAATCGTTTAATTTCTACGAGAACATGTCAGAAATCAACCAAAAAAGAAGAAAATAAACTATAATATTTTTTGCGACATTTTAAATTAGAGGAATATCAGAAGACAAAATAGAACTCAAAATCAAAAATTTTGCAACATACTAATAGATTTGTTATTATATCAAGCTAAGAAAATAGAAATTTAAAACAAACAATTAAAAAAAGATAAATCAATAAACCAAGGGTACCAGACTGAAATGGGGTGTAAGGTAAGAAATTCTGGCTCTAGGGCCTAGCTGAGATGAGCCCAAAAAACTTGTTTTTGTGTTACCAGCTTGAAAAAAAATTAAAAAAAATTCCCGTGGACGGTTAGGGTTAGGACTGACTTCACAAACTCCCTTCCTCTCTCTTTGATAGAACCTCTGTGAATCCTCCACCTTCTTCTTTCCATGTCTCGGCCGTAAACAACATCACCATCGCCTCACGCCTCTGATAGCCACCGCGATATGCATCGCCTCCACCTCATATCGTATGCTATATCCTCCTGGCTCCTCTTCTTCTTCAATAAACCACACCACTCTGTATCATTTCTCCTCTAACCACTAGCTTCGCGATTTCCACTCAACCTGAAACAAAACCCCTACCTCTGTTCTTTCATCTCAAACGCTTAACCTTTTTTCATATCACCTCAAAAACTCCTCTCATTCTCTCGCGATTCGAACCGAATGAGCCAGCAAAGTCTCTGTCTCACACACTCCCCCCCCCCCAAAGACAAGAATAATCGAAACACTTTACCTATATTATCAGTGAATAATAAAACACAGATGGTTTAAACAAACATAACAATAAAAATCTGATAGCAAGGGTGAACAAATACGTTACCTGGCTGACGAAATTGATAATGTTTTTAGGTACGTGTTGCCGACTTTCCTTTTTATCTGATTCTAAATTTTTGTTTTTGCTTGTTGCATTACCGATTTCCCTGTGTCTTGTATTCTGTTGTTGATTGAATTCGTGTATTGTTGTTCAACTGAAGCAGAGTTGAAAATGCAGGTTGTGAATGATGATTGAAGTGCAGAGAGGTTGTTTGAAGGTGATGAATCAACATGCTACGTGATGAATCCAAATGCTACGTGATGCGGAGAGGTTATATCGAAAAAAAGAGAGTTGTTTGAATTCTGTAATTATAAGTTGTTGTGTGTTGGTACTTTGACCTTGATGTTCTTCTGGTATGGTTCTGTTATATTGACCCCTTTTCATCCAATCCTAAAATGGTTGTTGTTGAATGAGGATGAATTAGACCAAGGATACATTAGGGTTGAGGGATTTGAACAGCAGTATGTGAGTTTGAAATTGAGGTCGGGATTATGGAAGGATGAAAGTTTGAACGATTTTTTTGATTGGATAGTGATAGAGTAAGGGTTGGGATTACAGGTTTGTGTGAAGAATATCAGGAAGAGGGTTTTTTTTTTGTTTTCTGAGAGGGATCTCTTAGTTTTGTTATGTTGGTTGTCTTTCTTTCTTTACAACCTATTGTACCCCAAAATTTGCCCTCCCATTTTTCATAGAAGATACAACCCTAGGGTTTCTTGGATATTCAAGTTGGTTCAGAAATCGATCAGACAAATTCTCTTATGGGGCAGTAAATCAGCAATTAGGGTTTTTTTGCAGTTCTCAAAAGAAAATGAGTT